TGTGAAAAGTGACGTTTATAGTGTTGGAGTACTCTTATGGGAAATATCTAGCGGTCGACCTCCTTTTTATGCTGAAGTTAAAGATTACGACATTTATCTAGCAATCGAAATTTCACAAGGAAAAAGAGAAAGCATTATTCCTGGTACGCCTGAAGATTACGTAAAAATTTATACTGGTAAATATGATTTTATAAATTTAGGTTTAAATGTAATTTTTCGATCATTAAATTTTTCATATATTTTAGAGTGCTGGAACAATGAGCCAGATAATCGTCCTTATATGAATAAAGTAGTTGAAGAATTAAATGCGATTATTCAAAAAACAAATATAATAGAAAATGAACAATTTAATAGTGAAAAATCAAACCTTAAATCATCAGAACAACATCCTTATTCGAGTCTTAACAATTCATTGCATGGGGAGTTATCTCAAATGATACAAAATTTTAATTTAGATCAGATAAATTTAGTAGAAGAATTAGAATCGAATTATAAAACATCAGCCATTGTTTACGATGATACAATAGTTAGCTTAACAATTACAGAATTTAATAAGAATGAAATATTAAACACCTTGGGAGGATTACAAAGATTTCGAAAATTACAAATACTCGACTGTAATAATACTCAGATAACATGCTTACCAACTTTACCCGATTCCTTAGCAGTTCTCTATTGTTATGGTACTCAAATTACAAGCTTACCAACATTACCCGATTCCTTAATTATTCTCGAATGTAATAAAACACAAATAACCAGCTTACCATCTTTATCCAAATCCTTAACAAAACTTTTATGCCGCGAAACGCAAATTATTAGCTTACCAACATTACCCGATTCCTTAACGATACTTTCTTGCTATGAGACTAAAATTACTAGCTTACCAACATTACCCGATTCCTTAATAATACTCGAATGTAATAATACTCAAATTAATAGCTTACCGTCTTTATCCGAATCCTTAAGAAAACTTTTATGCCACGAAACACAAATTACTAGCTTACCAACATTACCCGATTCCTTAACAGAACTCTATTGCTTTAAAACTCAAATTAAAAGCTTACCTACATTACCCGATTCCTTAACAGTACTCAATTGTGCTGATAATCAAATTACAAGCTTACCAACATTACCAAATTCCTTAACGGAACTCTATTGTTATGGTACTCAGATTACTAGCTTATCAACATTACCCGATTCCTTAACAAAACTTTCTTGCTTTAAAACTCCAATTACTAGTTTACCAATATTATCCAATTCCTTAACAGAACTCTATTGCTATGATACTAAAATTACTACCTTGCCAACATTACCCGGTTCCTTAACAATACTCGAATGTAATAACACACAAATTACTAGCTTACCATCTTTATCCAAATCCTTAACAAAACTTTTATGCTTAGATACTCAAATTACTAGCTTACCAACATTACCCGATTTCTTAGCAATACTTTATTGTTATAATATCCAAATTACTAGCTTACCAAATTTGCCCGATTCCTTAATAAATATTAAACCTGAATATTTAAAAAATCAATACTCAACTTAAAACTCTATTGGTAATCTTCATGTTTTTGTAATATTTTAAATTTTTTATTTTTTGTTCAAGTTAATTATATAAAGTATATGTATAATAAAAATTTATTTATATATGAAGTTGTTTTGCAGTCATATTTTTTAAAAACTTAACAAGTTTTATTTCAAATATCACTTTAAAAATTATTTTAAAT